CAGATGACAAAGAGCCCGCTTTGGGGGGGCGGGGTAGCCACCGTCAGCCTCCGCCGGTCCCCGATCTGGAGATGGCAGCATCCAGCGGGCAGGCAGCGTGCACACCGGGTGCCCACGGCAGGTGCCACCTGGGGCATGGGGCAGATCTGCACAGAGGTGGCCGGTCAGCTCGCCATCTCCCACTGGGGACCAGCAGCATGTGCGGGGGGAGGCACGCAACGGGTGTAGACTCGCCTGCAAGTGAGCTGAAGCCCCGCCCCATAGGCCGAGGTTATGAGGGCCGCACATGCAGCCTGGAAAGCCCGGAGGGCAGATGCCAGCGTGCTGGCAGCACCTCACACCTGCCACCGTTTACCCAGCCCTGCCTGGTTACACACAGGGACCGTGGCCCAAGAATGCAGGGGCTCAGTCCGTGACCACAGACACACACAGTCCGGACGCGGCAGCCAGCTGGAACCACGGGCCAACGGGACCCACAGGACTGGGTGTGTGGCAACACCACGGCTGTGACAGGCCGCCTGCCGCCTTCTGGAACATACTGCCACAATCCAGCCCAGCAGTCAGCAAACCACACTCCACCAGCCCCTTCTGCCCACTACCTGTGTCCACACAACCTGCAAGCCCAGGGCTATGTTTCTGAACAGTTGAAGAAGAAGCAAAACTATGACATCTGTGACATGTGACAGTCACCTAAAGGTCAGCTATCACTGTTTGACCCCGGCCATGCCCGTCTGCTTAGGTGCACGAGGGGTATTTCCACCGTCAACGGCAGGTGTGAGCAGTTACGGTCACCCCGCACCCACAAAAGCCCAAAATATTCAGTCTGGGTTTTTCATGAAAAGTCAGCCAACTTGGACGTAGAGGCGCATGAAGCCAAAATGGCAGGGGCACCAGCACGCAGGCCCCCACGTCAGTCCTCGAGAAGAAATGGCCAAGCAGATCCGGTCACAGCTCTGAGGACCCACACCGCGTGGGAATGTCACCCAGGAGCGGGCAGCTCTCTGCCCATGCAAGTCAGGTGCACAGACACACGCCATTTACTGGCACAAACCCACTGCTAGCAAACAGCCCCTCGGGCCGGTGGGGCACTCATGGGACATTCAGGGCCACCGCGCTCGGTCACTCATGGTCTCTGTGGTGCTTGCACGAGACTCCGAAAGGTTCAACTCCACCAGCTGTCTGTCCTCCACAGTTGTCAGAATCACTGACTGCACAAGTTGCTGAAGGTGAGTCCTTTGTACAGACTCAAAACCAGATGCTGTGGGCATGGAAACTTCTAGAAGAACCGTCTGCTCAGTCAGCAGCTAGCAGGTGGTGGGTGGGCAGTGAAGGAGACTAGGGGCAAAACCGTACAACCCCTACCCTTCGCAGCAGACGGGAGAGCGGGGCCGTTGCAGGGCTGACCTGTGTCTGCCCCCCACCCCCCAGGCCAAGCGCCCCAGCTCTGCCCACATTCCCAGCACGTGCAGAAGGAAACACACACCCTGCTGAGCTCTCAGGTTTTGGCCAAGTCCCCAATGTCACCCCTGCTACGATCAAGGTGAACTTCTGTTAACGCCGACATCTAAAGTTCACACTCAGAGGGGACTTCTCTCTCACAGCACGTTTTCTAGAACGCCTCGGGAATGGCTTCCACGCCCCCAGAACGGTGCAAGGTTTTCCAGAACTCTCAAGGTCTAGTGTGCCAGGATCCTCCGGGGGCCCGGCCTGGGAGCCTATGAGCCACAGGGGCATCACCGTCGCTCCACCAAAGTCACCAGGCCACGGCTAACGAAGACCCGTTTGTTTTAATTAACAAGAATTGGTTAAAAATTTAAAAAGCCTATCTTCTTTTGAAGTTTGCAGCAAGACGCAAATTCGGAGAGAAGGTCCTTCCATCTAATGCAATCCTGAAAAGCTCCACTTAGCTTAGTTTTGTAAGAAAACTAGTGGGGGGCCTGGCTGGCTGTTTGATGGAGAAGGAAAATCAAGTTAGAAATGAGAAAAAGCAAGAAAAGCAGAGAAAGAAACGTAGTCCCCGTTCGTGTGCACCTGACAGGCTTTCCTCCAAGCTGGGAGCCACCGCACTCCATGAGGGGGGCCGGGAGGTGTCCCACTGCCCCCAGAACAGGGGGTCTTTGTACCCTGGGGGGAGACTGTACAGAAAGCCCCACACAGCCCGAGGGGGAGGTTCTCTGAAACTAAACTCAATAACGCAATGGATTTTCGTGCAGCTTTGGAACATGAAAAGATCTGAAAAGGAGACATCCCAAGAAGGAAATGTCAACGCTTTCAAGATGCTCTGACGGTCACAGAACACGGTGTATGAGGGACAAGATGGGGAGCAGACCCTTTCCCTCTGGGACCAATGCCCACCCACCGCACCGTCCTTTCCCAAAGCACCTCCCGCATGGAGGGTATGGGCCACGGGCTTCCCCGCTCGGGAAATCCGCTCTCCGTCTGGATGCACTCCACGCCAGCCAGATCCAAGAACCAGGGAATGCAGGGAGGCCGTGCAAAACCAGAGAAGAGAAAAGATCTCAGGTGGTCGGAGGCCAGGCGCAGCCCGGACAGTGCCCCCACGGCCAGCACCCGCCAGCCTGCAAGGGGGTGGCCACGTCCGGTCCCCATCCAGCTGCCGGCCGGGAGACGACCACGTTTGCAACAGCTTCCTGCCCGCAGTTTGGGGGTGGGTACATTACAGCAGGAGTCAGACGACACCTCCAGCCCACTGCTGTCCATCCTAACAGCACCCTTTTCCTTCTCAAAGGGCTTTCTTGGGGCGCCTGGGGGCTCAGTCAGGTAAGTGTCCAACTTCAGCTCAGGTCATGACCTCACGGTTCATGGGTTCGAGCCCCGCGTTGGACTCTGTGCTGACAGCTTGGAGCCTGGAGTCTGCTTCAGATTCTTCAGGTCTCCCTCTCTCTCTGCCCCTCCCTGTTCAGTTTGTCTGTTCGGTTCTCTCTCTCTCTCTCTCTCAAAAATAAACAATGCGTTTAAAGGGCTTTCTTTTAAACATGGAAAGATAAAATGAGCGTTCATTCCTGCCCCTCCCCATTTGTTTAAAATGTCTAGGCCACGCGGTTCAGCAACCCAAGTCCCACAAACTCTGGAGCCAAACTCTGGGAGGGGGGAATGATGGCTCTTCATTTTTTTTTTTTTTTTTTTTCTTTTTTTTTTTTTAATTTTTTTTCAACGCTTATTTATTTTGGGACAGAGAGAGACAGAGCATGAACGGGGAGGGGCAGAGAGAGTAGGGGAGACAGAATCGAAACAGGCTCAGTTCCTCGGCAGCCATCAGCCCAGAGCCTGACGGGCTCAACTCACCACGGACCGCTGGCAGATCGCGACTCCGGCTGGAAGCCGACGCCAATCACCACGCCACCCAGGCTCTCATGGCTCATTTTGGCGCGATATCGCGCGCGAACGCGACCACAGAGTGTCGGCGGACAGCGCCTGGTGTGACGGGCGGTTGCCTCATCAGTCACCGCCTCCCACTCCCTGCTCCCCTCCACCCCAGGCAGGTGGCATCACCCTGCAGTGGGATGACAACCACGTGCTGGGGGTCACTGTTCAGCCAGGACTCCTGCGCCTTGCAGACGGCACACTCTTGGTTCAGGTGGCGATGTAGTTCAGGGCCAGCCCGCCCAGAATTCGCAACGACACTAAGTCCTTCTTGGGGGCTCAAGCGGCAACCAGGGCACCCCCACCAGCCCTCTCTTCTATCTATATTTCATCTAACAGTAAGGAACACTGGGCCGTGTTCCTCTTCTAAAACCTGCTGGGAAGGCCCTGGGGTGGCCCAGTCGGTTGAGCATCTGACTCTTGATTTCGGCTCAGATCATGATCCTAGGGTTATGAGTTCAAGCCCCACGTCAGGCTCTGTGCTGACAGTGTGGAGCCTGCTTGGGATTGATTCTCTCTCCGCCCCCCCCCCACCCTCTGCCCCTCCCCACCTCGTGCACACACGCGTGCACGCCCTCTCTAAAATAAAAAATAATCATGATAAAACTTATTTTAAAAAATTAAAATAAATAAAACCTGCTGGAAATTGTGGCCAGGCTCCTTCACTGGAAAGAAAAACGTGAAGGATTATGTTGCCCCCGTGAGACAACTACTCTGCTTTTTGCAGCTGGGATGGCAATTCTAGAAAGGACTTTCAGAGCCGCTAATGGGGCAGGGCTCGTGGGGAGAGCCAAGGCCCGGTTAGATCTGAAACTGGAGTTCTTGGCCGGAGCTACTGCCAAAAATCCCTCCGGGCAGACGAAAATCGCAGCTTGGGGAAATTCAGGGAGCCTTTCCCCACGCAGCGTGCAGATAACATCTCAGAGAGAGGCCCGCTGGGTGCACTTGGGAGAAACACGGTCCTCAAAGGACAGAAGCGGGCCCACGAAGGAGGAAGCGCCTTGAGCCCCGGCTTCAATCTGGAGCCGGAACAGAGAAGGTCCTCATCGCCTGACACCAACACCAGCACCCGCCCCTGCCCCGCGACGCAAAACACTTTCTATTTTCCTTTTCCTTTCTTGAAGGGGAAGGGAAGGCCGAGCTCCCTTCCCTAGGAGTAACAGAAGTAACATGAAACGATGGAAAATTTCAGAGAAATGCCAGCAAGCTGAAAAATATCACATACCCCCTTCCGCCACTCGGGGGAACAGCTGTAGCATTTAGGTGACGCCCTGAGGTTTTTGTCCACATAGCGGAGACACTACTGTCTTATCCCAGTGGCTGCAGAACGTTCCCACGCGTGGATCACGTATGCTGTTTACGCCATCACTTACACACGTGAGCAATTTCAAAAATTTCCCCTAAATCTTGACAACTAAGAATAACGGAGGGAGAACGAAACAGGTGGCAGGCAGGAGATCCTGGCAGAGGAGACGCCACACGCGTGTGCACACACGCTTGTGCACACACGTGTGTAAACCCAGGAAAGGCTGAACACAGCCTGCGGATCACGCCAACGTCAACTTCTGGCATCGACATTTTATTACTTATCATTAGTTCCGCCCGGGGGAAGACAGGGGCCGGGACAAGTGGGCTCTCTCTGTATATTTCTGCAACTTCCGGCAAATGTGTACTTCTTTCAGACTAAAGCAGCTGATTTATTTAAAAAAATTTTTTTTTAATGTTTTTATTTATTTTTGGGACAGAGAGAGACAGAGTATGAGCAGGGGAGGGGCAGAGAGAGAGAGAGACACAGAATCCGAAGCAGGCTCCAGGCTCTGAGCTGTCAGTGCAGAGCCTGACGCGGGGCTTGAACCCACGGACTGTGAGATCATGACCTGAGCCGAAGTCGGACACTTAACCGACTGAGCCAAGCAGGCGCCCCTAAAGCAGCTGATTTAAAAATAACCCCCAGATAAGGGCAGTTCCTGATTCCCCTAATGACGTCACATCCCACAAAGGCTTGCCGGGAACAGCTTCCGCACCAGCAGATACGCATCGTGCACGTTTGATTAAACAAAACTCAGAATATAAAGGGTGAAGGTCCGTACCTTTGGGTTAAGCTTCGTGAGGTCATACCTCTTTTCGGAAAGGTTTAACACCTGTGAAGGGGAAGGAACAAGCCATCAGACAACTCAGCATCCTCGGAGGTCAAAGAGGAAACCGCTGGTTTTCACGTTCACCCGCCGCCTGCCTTCGAGGTACCGAAGATGATAAAAGGTGGAATCGTACGTAGGAACGGAGGACAGCTGAGCACAGGGGCCTGTCCAGCTGGTGCGGTTCGCCACCCGCTTTCCTCAGAGCCAAGAGCCCTCCTGCCTGATAAGACCCATCACCCTGGGCAGCCTCGCTCAATGGCCTGCGGGTTCAGTTAGTTATACTGGCTGCACGTCCATCAGAGGATGCAGGTGTAGACGGGGAAGAGATGAGCCCACCCAGGATTCTTAACTCAGATCTGTACCAGACATGCACACGGGTCTTTCTTCAGACATTTCCAAAGGGTCCTAAGGGTCCTTGTCCCAAAACAAGGCAGGGACTGCTGCCCTCACTGTTGGTGGGGGCCAGGGGTAGGCTCTGGCCCTACAGCCGCGTGTCCGGGGCCCAGGGCCCTCCCGGGTCTCAGAGGACACCTGCAGGGGACCAGCCGTGCGCTGACCCCTGGGCCAGGCATCAGGACGGGGCAGACAGTTCCTGCAGGGCCTTGGGGAGAAAGGAAGCCCCTGGGACAAGAGTGTGATGGGACAAGAGTGTGACGCTCTCGGCTAGGACAGGCTTTCCCCTGTCCGCAGCCAGGTCATCACGCCAAGGACTGGCATCCGAGGGACCCAGGAGCCAGGACGGCGCGGCTCCAGCCCGACCCTGACCACTCAGCTCCGGGCCAGCACAGCCTGTGGGAAGCGACGCGGGGTCACCTCCGCTCACCCTGCCTCGTTCGCAGGCAGCAGGCGGCCGATTAGTCATCTGAGACCGATAAGGGCACAATAACGGCCTTGTCGTTTAGAGCGAAGATTAGCTGCTTGGATGGAGATAAGAACAGCGTCGGGGCAGGTGCAGCGGAGGCGTCAGGGGTTGTAATTTAACCCAAGATCACACGGGGCCGCTCCCCTGGGGCTGCCACGGCGCGAACACACAGGGCAAGCCAGGGGATGCGGGAGACGCTGGCCGCGCTTACCCCCAAGCGGGGACTCTCCCCCTCCACAACGTCACACACGTTCCCGGCTGTCGGCAGCAGGGAGAGGCTTAGCCGTATGCAGGGACGCCGACCCCACAGGGGCTGGCAGCCCCCTCCTGACGCTGAGCGCCCAGCGCACCAGGACGGCTGCCCACCACGTGTTCGGGGCAGTGGCCGTGGGCAGGGGACAGCTGCACTTCCCCGGGGACACTCGTGACCTCATGCCACAGCAGGTGGCACGTGGAACAAAAGCCCCAGTGGGAGGGAGCCCCGGGGCATCTCCATGAAGCCAGGCACAGAGTGAGGGACCACAGCCACCCCACAGGCTCAGTGGCCACCCCAAGACTCTCAGTGGTTTCTTCACATTTCAGGAAACTCAGTGTCTTCCCAGTCACAGTGCCCAGTGTTCCCCCACACCATCCCTGCACTCAGTGTCCCCTCTCCTACTCTCCCCGCGCTCAGTGCCCCCCCCCGCACCATCCCTGTGCTC